TAGGGAAATTCTTCAAAGCTTTGTCAAACAGAATTGATGCTTTGTATGAGGGGACCAGTTTTGACACAAACATTTCCAGCATCCAACAGTTGAAGGGATTTCCATTGAAAAATTGGGCAGAATTTAACCAGTTCAAGTCCAGTGAAACACTTAATGAAAGAAAAAGTCTGGTGGGTTGAAATATCGTCAACCTAATATAACAAGGTTGTATGTTAAAAAAAAAACAAAAATTTAAGTCTATGTGTCTACAGGATTATATGTGGCCTACGCTTCACATACCACTTAATAATTCTATAGAATGTATATTGTATGTATACATATATATATATATAGAGTTATTTTCAAGTTGTATGTCAAGGGTGGATTACATAAAACTTTGTAGAAGCATAAACTTAAATTTTTCGGTTTTTTAACATACAACCTTGTTATATTAGGGTGATGATATGTTGAAAGTGTGCGAGTGTTTATATTAAAGGTAAAATTTTATTGCAGTTCATTTACCTAAAAATCTTGGTGCAAATATGGCTCTTAAAGAAACGATAACTGATATTTTGACAATGGAGTTCACCTTTCTGGGAAATAATAATAAAAGGATACAAAATTATTTCACGTAATCTATTGTAAGTCAATGTTTTCATTCTTTTTTCATTAAGTTTTAGTTTTCATTGGCAATTTCTTCTGTCTACAGTTGCTGTACAGGGTCTTGTTTTGAAGGCCCCACATCAAATAAAGAGTTCTTGCCACACATTCAAGAATCAACAGACAACGTGAGGCAAACAAATTAAAAAAACAGCAGAAAACACCAGAAAGTGAAGCAACAAATGATAATCCTCAAAACTATAGTTTTGTATACAGAGTCAATAAGGATACTGTTGAAAAGGAGCAAATTTAAAAATTGTTTTTTTGTATATTTTAATAGATATTTTGTTTATAAATTTTGGTTGTGTTTTAATTGCCTATTTTATTTTATGCAAGAAAACCTAAATAACTATATATAATTATGGGTTTTGAAAGGCAAAAGGAGTGTTTATTTGATGCAAACATCCAAATTTAAAAAAATTATCAATTTAAATGCTAGCATTTAAGTTGCTAATTATTTAGATATGTTTGCATCAAATAAACAGTATTTTTTCCTTTCAAAACCCATAACTTGATTTTTTCAAATATTTGAATTAATCCGCCAAAAGTAGGCAGCGCATGCGCGCATCCGATTCGAATTTAATCGAAAATCAAGGTTTGATATCACATTGAGCCCAACTGAGGAACCAACTTGATATGTTTTTGACCTCAAAGCTTGATGTATAAAATCAAGTCTTGAGCTCGCATTGATATCAACTTGAACACCACTTTGTTAGCTGGGAGGATTCAATTTATAAAAGAGAAACTGAAAATTATTCTAAAACAATTTCATTTTTAACAGATTTAATAAACAAAAAATTAAAACCATTTTTAAACTTAAATAGATCAAAAAGAGGTTTAGTTAACGGATTAGGTTATATATATTATCAAAGAAATAACCGGAAATATGGATAATCAAGATAATAAACAAATTAAACTTCATGAAAATAATATTGACCAACAAATAAACAATCAATTTTCTATTAATAAAGAGATTATTTTTAAATTTAATAAAACAGTTAAAGATATCGAGCATAATGAAAAAATAATTATTTCAAAAATTAACATTCTCGAAGATGTAATTAATCAAACAACACGCCATTCAGATGTTTTATTTGCAACAGAAACATTAAATCAATTTATTAACTTATTTAATATTATCTTAACATACTTCAAGACATTTAGAATTCAATCTTATTTTGTAATTTAAATATGGCACATCCTAGTATTATATCCGATGACGAATTATTAAATGAACTTATAAAATTATCAGCTTAAGCTGATAATTTTATAAGTAATTACTATAAAAATCAATTTCCATTTTTAATAGAATATAAAAATATTAAATATTTTAGATCTTTAATAAAAACTAAATGTATAATATACAATACCGAAATAATCTATTTTCTTAATTTGCCAACATTTAGTTCAGACATTTTTCGATTATATTACTTTATTCCAATTCCAAATCAATCATTTCAAACTATTATCCCTTCAAGTAAATTTATTTTAAAATCTGAGTCTGACACAGTACCTTTGGTGGATACCTGTGACAAAATCAATAATCAATACCTCTGCTCGAGAAATTTAAGAAACTACCCACTGGGAAAGAAACCTTACAAAATATTGCTGCAATGTTCGCCGACTTTACAAATAAAATATTTCCTCTGCTACTTGCATTAACATAAATGAAATGTTACATTTGAATTATTGCATAAAATAATTTCTAACAACCTTAAATTTGAAACATTATTTAAAGATTCACATGGAAAGTTTTTACAATGTTATATTAATATACAAATTTGTAACATTTAGTATAAAATCTTGCATAAAAGTTTTTAAACATTACAATTATATATATATAACAATGTTATATTAATATACAAATTTGTAACATTTAGTATAAAATCTTGCATAAAAGTTTTTAAACATTACAATTATAATATTGCAGACATAACTTTTTTTCAATGTTTCAATTGAAATATTAACACAAGTTTCAAATGAAAAATGTTTGCAACTTTACTTTAAATATACAATAGAAACATTTATTTTGGAATGTTTGGGAATATTTTTGAAACATTGCAATTATAATATTACATTGATAAGTTTTGGGCAATGTTTCATCCGCAATATTAGATTAAGATGATTTTTGCAATGTTACTTTATATAAACAATATAAACATTTAATTTGCAAGATTTTTGGAACATTGCAATTATAATATTACATTGATAAGTTTTGGGCAATGTTTCATCCGAAATATTACATTAAGATGATTTTTGCAATGTTGCTTTATATAAACAGTATAAACATTTAATTTGCAAGATTTTTGGAACATTGTAAGTATAATATTACATTTATAATTATAACTTTAGTTTTGGACAATGTTTCATCCGAAATATTGCATTAAGATAATTTTTGCCATGTTGTTTGCAGACTGACTTGCCGATGCATCTCGCCGCTGTCCTGGTCATTTATATCTTTATAAGTGAACAGAGCCGAGCTTGATGCGTGTCTCCCGTCACCGACTGCCTGACACTGATGAGACCCAACAGGTCGAAACAGTCTGTCTCTCAGTGTTGGTGGGTATGGTGCATTAGTAAATGAACCATACCATTCGGAAAACGCGCTTCGAGCTCCTCGGCTCGGTGGCGAAACGGGAAGGCATTTCACTGAAATGATTTCAGTCTTTGTAATATTGGTTGCCTACTTCTGGGGATTTTTTTCTGATATATATTATATATTTTTATATATATATATATATCCGGATTATAGGCCTCTAGCTTACGGATAAATAATTATAATTAATTATTATTAAAATATTTCATATTAATTTAATTGCAATCTTCCTGTAATGTGGCAGGAACCTTACATTAACAAAAATAACATTTAAGCAAAATTTAATTTGTAAATGTAATGTTCCTGAAACATAAGGCTTTGTTGCAATGTTCCTGCAACATTGCCACAAGGATTTTTGTAACATTACACCTAACAAATGTAATGTTACAGGAACCTTACATTAACAACATTGTATTTGTAAATGTAATGTTCCTGAGCCGGACATAAGGCTTTGTTGCAATGTTCCTGCAACATTGCCACAAGAATTTTTGTAACATTACACCTAACAAATGTAACGTTCAGTAACATTGTAGAAATATTATTTTTCCCAGTGGGTATATTGACGTTTCATGTGAAATCGATATCCTAGATAACAATGACGTCTCCAAATGCACCTACATCCAATTAAATAGACAAAAATCACTAGAATACATTCCAGAAATTAACCAATTTTTGGGAATATTTCCAAACGAAATCTCATATAAATCCAGTTGTAAAACCAATATAATAACAAGAAAGATTCAAGGAATATTTCTGTTCAAAAATGAAAATGACTGCCACATATATGTGGACGACAATCTTTTATTTTTCAACGTTAGTACCAGAGGTCAACCACTACTATTAGAAGCCGAAGTTCAATCCGAAAAATCATCAATAACGAAAATCACACCCTTAAAGCTACGTCACCTAAAAGTCACCGAACTATCCCGTAACCTCCAATTAATGGAACCGGATACCAGCTCAAACACAACATGGCACCTACCGCTAACCATCATGTTATATATATATTTATATCTTATATATATATATATATATTTCATATTCTTCATGCTGATAACTTTCCTCGTCTCCAAGAAATTAAGAAAAAAGAAACCCAAACAACTCCACGTGGAAGAATCCGAGCTGTCCTCTTTCGACGTTGCTGATATCAAAGTTTAGCCTTCACCGGAGTCTCAGGACTACCATGGGAGGAATTATGTTAAAGAATTTCCACGAATATGCTGACTGAAACCCAACCTGCAGACTCAGCATACGAACATATAAAAGTACTTGTTATACACAATTTAAAACACTCTTTGATTTACTGTAAAGCTATAAACAATAAAAATAATTTTTTAAAAACTCGTTTGTGATTTCCGAAAATATAATTTACCAATATTAAAAAATAGGTAAATATACATATAAAGATGATTTATTTGACTTCAGTTTAATGTGAACTTCTACAGTACAACTTGATTATAAATAACATCTATCAAAATTGTAAAAACCTAGACGAATTCCTTCCGGCGCCCATGGCATCAGTGATAGGCTGATTTCAATATTCACTCTTAAACCAATCGGGTTTTAAATTGAAAAGTAAGGTTAACAGATGTCAGGTTCCAGGTTAATTCCAGTACTGAATATTTTTTTACAAATTCCAGGTTTTCCAGGACGCGTGGGAACCCTGAATTTTTTTAAATTTTCCTTATATAATCTAATGAATCTTAATAATTGAAAGTTAATGTCCAAGAAAATAGTGTAAAATAACAAAAATTAAAAACAAAAACATTTTTTATTAAAGTTTATTAATAATTAACTTTACATTAGAAGAAAAATCCAAGAATTTTGCCTCCCAGATGTTTTCTTCTTGCTTCTTCATGGTCCATAATACCTCCACTGGTAGTCAATACAACATAACTAAAAACAAAACATGATAAATTTATAAACATTTAGATGTACAAAAAGGTATGGTTTTTATTAGGTTTATCCTATCAAAATTTTACGCTGATTAAAAAAATGACCATTATTTTGGTCAATTTAAAGTTATTCCATTTAAAAAGCACATTTTTAACGGAATAAAATCTTTTTTAGACAAAATTCGGCAATTAAAAAAATTACTGCCACGCGAACAACTTTTGTCCGATTTTAATAATAAATTATTAATAATAATAAATAACTTTATTGTTAAATTAATGTAACAATTTTATTTTATTAAATAAATATTAAGGTAAAGAACAAGTAAATGTAGTTTGATATTAGCTGTAATATGATCTCTGCGCTTAATACCACAAATAAAAAGTAAACACATATTTTGTATTAATTGAATTCTATTAGAATCCTCTATAGTAGGACAATCACCATAATCTGTATCTCTAAAGTTCAAATGAGATATCAATGAGATTTCAAATCCAATTATTTGACGAAAGGGAAAGCGGAGTTTTAAATTTAAGAAATATTTTCCGACGCATTAAGAAATGACTTAAGAATCGCAATTGGTTGTCCAGTATTATGCCTAGATTTTTGGCCGACTACTATTTGTAGTTGATTGCAAAAATGTATACCTATTAACTTTATTTATATGTATAGCTATTAACTTTATATTAAAATTTTAACGCTATTAAATAAAAATTGTCAAAACCTAAAAACCAACATAATTAAAATCAGACAAAAAATGTTTTTTAACAGCCCAGCACACCGAATTTTTGGGTAAAAAACGATCTTATTTAGTTAAAAATGATGTTGAGGGAAAACTTTATGTGTATAATTACATTTTTTTCCGTTTAATTGGTATCCATAGCTATGGCACGCCGTTTTGCTATTCAATATACCTGGAACAAGGCATTGCATTTATTCAATAAATAGCAATACGGCGTCCCGCCAAATTACTAGGAGGGAGTTTTTTTTCCTTTTTGGCTCATAACTCGCTAACCGTGCATTTTGACCTCTAATACTTTTGATTATGTACTAAATAAGGCACACGTTAAACCCCATTGCGCACCTATATGATGTGCTATTTAGCTATGCGCAGTGTGCAAAGTTAACTGTGCTTTCAAAATCACTTTTTTTTATAGACCAATTTTAAAAGTAATCGATCCCAAACCTTCCGCACGGTTCGCCAAAAATGCAATTACTAATTTCAGTTCGTAATTCCCTGAAATTGCAAAAATTTAAAAAGAATTCTCCGAAATCACCTAAATCATGGGATTTCGGTCGCAATCCTCCGAAATCACCGCAATCATTCCGAAATCATGGGATTTCCGCAATACGTGTACATATTTTTTGAAGGTGGTTTCCCCCTCGGGGATTACTATCAAATCTGTGGGTAAAAGGCATAAGGGGATAAGTCAAAAAAAGCAATTTTTCGGTAGAGACTTAAACGTGTTCGCATTAATTCAGGAAATATATTTATGGTTAGCGAACATATGCTTTTGCTAGCATGACATGTGCTCGCAAAAGGATATATCCGCTAACCATAAATGTATTTCCTAAATTAATGCGAACACGTTTAAGGCACTACTAAAAAATTGATTTTTTTGACTTATCCCCTTATGCCTTTTACCCACAGAAATATCAAATTATTTAAAAAATTAATACAGGCTATACTAAGAAAGGGGACAAGGGTAAGTAAAAACAACTAAATTTGAAACAAATATTTATTAAAATACACTGGCGAAAGAAATTAACGCATCACGATAAATTTATCATTATTTTGTTGTTAAATATTTTCCAAACCAATCATTCGATTTTGATGTTTTTTTTTTGGATTGTGTAACGACTCTTAGAAAATCTTATTATGACTTTAGTTCTTTTATAAATCTTTGTTTCTTTTATATACGGGGTGTTATACTGATACTTGATTTTTTTTAAAATTTTCAAACACTCTGTGTATTAAAGTAGCAGTAATAGCAAATCCTAAAAAGGATAAAACTATAGCCTTATCTAGCCCTACCATTCTCTTTTTTGATTCACCTTTTTATCTCTTTGATTAAAGGAGATACACATTTTAATAACACTGCATGTTTTATTTACCTTTTTATACACATTAAAGAAAACAGGCTGTGGCGTCTTGTCAAATTTATGACATTTCAAACGAAATGTCAATATTTTATAATGAATGTCAGAATGAACGTGCTTCATCAGAATCGCATCTTAAGTTTTGAAGATTCTGTGCGTGCGGTAACTCTTTCGGAAGATGGTAGAAGTCAGCATTTTATCGCTCAACGTCTTGGAGTCAATCAATCGACTATATCTCGAATCCTGCGGCGGTATCATGAGACTCAAGTGCACGTAAGAAGACCAGGTCAAGGAAGAAGACGAGCCACAAACGATGTCCAAGATCGATTTTTGTTGTTACAAACGTTAAGGGAACGGTTTATTACAGCACCAAGATTACAAAATATCCTGGAAGAGACACATAATATTCGTGTAAGCAGTGTAACGATACGAAAGCGGCTACGTGAATTTAATTTAAGACCCAGAAGACCTGCAACAGGCCCTCAATTAAACGCAGAGCATCGCAGAGCCAGATTAACATTTGCTCAAGAACACGTTAACTGGTTAGAGGCTGATTGGGCCAACGTTATGTTTACTGACGAATCCAGATTTTGTCTCCATAGCAGTGATAAACGGATGAGTGTATATAGACGGCCAGGTGAACGTTATGCTCAATGTAACATTGTTCAAACAGTCATGTTTGGTGGAGGCTCTAGTATGGTGTGGGGAGGCATCACTGCAGAGGCTCGCACGGAGTTGGTGGTAATTCCAAGAGGAAGTGTCACGGCAGTTTCTTACATTGAAAACATTTTAGAACCTATCTTAATGCCTTTTGCACCCTTTGTCGGTGATAATTTTATTTTTATGCATGATAATGCTAGACCGCATACGGCCAGGATTGTACAACAATATCTTGCCGAGGTTAATATTCCAACAATGCGTTGGCCAGCCAAAAGTCCGGATCTTAATCCAATAGAACATATCTGGGATATTATGGGCAAACGGTTAAGAGAACTTCCTCGTCAACCCATTAATCAACAAGAACTGGGAGAAAGGCTACAACAAATTTGGGAAAGTATCGACCAAGATGAAATAAGAAATTTAATTTTTAGTATGAGGCGTCGATGTGAGGCTGTAATTCGTGCAAGAGGAGGAAACACTAAGTATTAGTTACTGTGTTGTGTAAATACAATAGATAATTTTTGCTAATTATGTTAATTGTTAAATGTATTAAACCTTAAGATAAATAATATTGACATTTCGTTTGAAATGTCATAAATTTGACAAGACGCCACAGCCTGTTTTCTTTAATGTGTATAAAAAGGTAAATAAAACATGCAGTGTTATTAAAATGTGTATCTCCTTTAATCAAAGAGATAAAAAGGTGAATCAAAAAAGAGAATGGTAGGGCTAGATAAGGCTATAGTTTTATCCTTTTTAGGATTTGCTATTACTGCTACTTTAATACACAGAGTGTTCGAAAATTTAAAAAAAAATCAAGTATCAGTATAACACCCCGTATATAAAAGAAACAAAGATTTATAAAAGAACTAAAGTCATAATAAGATTTTCTAAGAGTCGTTACACAATCCAAAAAAAAAACATCAAAATCGAATGATTGGTTTGGAAAATATTTAACAAAATAATGATAAATTTATCGTGATGCGTTAATTTCTTTCGCCAGTGTATATAAAACCCTAATTTATAGGAATAATATACAGGGTTTTATGAAAAACACTTTAATAACTCTAGTATATCAATCGGTAAGTCATTTGAAACAACTTTTTTTCTAAAATCAAAAATTAATAAAGCAGCGTGACGTTAAGATAAGACGGTATGTTGCCAGTTTTTTTTTGAAAATTTATAAAAAGTAAAAATTAAAATTATCAAGCAAAAGCTATTCAAAAAAAAGTTGTTCCTAATATTTTTCTGCAAGGCTGAATTTATTTATTAAAGAGTCTCAATAAAATAAAATTCGCAATGAAAATTGTCAGTAACATTAGTCTCAAGAATTAAAAATATATTTTTAATATGAATACTAAGTATATAAAACAAAAACAAAATTAAACTTTATACTAGGCAAGTATTTTAATAAATCGATCATTTTAAAATCCTTAACCACTCAGTTCGCCATTCATAGAAAATTAAAAATAAAAAATAAAGAAAAAAACTGAACTTATGAATACATTTCATAATTTTGTTTGAATAAAATTTTATGGATTTTCGACTTTATTAAAATGATCGATTTAATAAAAAAAACATAATTATCTTAATTTGATTAACAAAAATATTCATAAACGCCCAGACTTTCATGAAAAGCGAGGGGTGAACCGCAGGGAAATTTTGGTGTACAATCTTTAGGAATTAGTAGAGGAATTAGTGGGGAATTAGAGGAATTAGTGGGGAATTACTCGGGAAATTCCGGAATAAATTAGAAGAATCTAGAACACCTAGAAGGCTTAATTTATTTAAAATATTATATGTTTAATAGTACAAAAGGTCAAAAAATTCCCGAAATTTTTTGGGGTTTTCCCGAGGGGTCGGAAAAATTCAAAGAACATTTTCAGTTCTTTAACAATTATTTTTTAATTTTATGGGGTCTCTTCAGTATTACTTAACTAGGTAAATATTTTAACTTATTAAAAAATTTAAATTAACAAATTTGTAGAAATTTAATTGCCAAGAAAACAAAAAAGTGTTTTGGTTTTAAGATTATTTTTCTTACATTCTTTTCTATGATTTTTTGAATTATTTGCCTTTAATAATAATAATGGTCAAAATTTGAAACAAAAGAAAAAATAATATACTTAATGTTTAAAAAACCCAGACCCCCTTAGTTAAAAAAAATAATTTGTGATATTAACAATAAAGATGATACCTGAAAAACTAAAAATTCCCAGGAATTTTTGGAATTTAGTTAAAATTCCTGTGAATTACCTGGGAATTTTGATACTATAATTTTACACGATTTTGTGGCCTAGTTTACGTAATAAATTTGTTCAATTAGTAGGAAATTAGCTTGGGAATTAGTGAAATTAGGGGAATTAGCTTAGGAATTAGTGAAATTAAGGGAATTAGCTTGGGAATTACTGAAATTAGGGGAATTAGTAACAATTCTGGAAATTATTGTACACATTTTTTTATGCGGTTTACCCCTCGATGAAAAGTAACAGGTTCAATAATATTAATACCCTGACATTTTCCATTTACCTAGGGCCAATATTTCAATTGTTACTTATTTTCCAAATAAACCATTTGACGGATAACTTCCATGGATACCATTGTCTTGACAATAGTATCTAAGGAAATCATCCGGCAAATAGTTTATTTGGAACATACTCTTTTAAAATGAATTAAACAAAAATGACTAATTGTCATGGCGAAAAAGCAGCCACTAATAGGTAACTGTTGTCCAAAGCAATTTGATTCCCGGATATTTAATAGACAATTCATATGTAAAATTGTCCACTGAATCAGAAAATACCGTGCAAAGATATGAAAGTAGAGAAGTTTTTGAGATATAGTCAATTTATAATTATTTTTGGTAAGTAAGCTCTAAAAGGCTTGTTTAAAAACGTAATGCTCTGGGAGGACTCCTCGCATCTCAAAATATATAGGTACCTTGTGGCTTTATAAAAGGCTACAAATACTTTTTGCCCCTAGCCGTTTATTTTACTGAAGAGTTATATTTCTCAGCAATAAAAAACATTGCAATTATTTTTCACAACCGCAGCTATTTTTTAAATTTATTTATTCCTTAGGAGTTTACCTACCAAAAATAATTAATTACATTCTTTCTGAGGCTTATTTGGCTTTTTGTTTTAAAACAACTCATATAACTAACCTTATGCGTTTTTAATAAATGCCTGCAGCCATGGCTTAATAAATATTTTAGTGCCAAGCTCTTTAAATAATGCTTACTTAATAACTAACTTATTAATATGATAATGTTAATTAATTAATGGGTACCTATACACCTAGTGATGTAAAATACCCAGGTATTTACCCAAATAGGGTATTTACCCAGGTATTTACCCAAATAGGGTATTTATAGGGGTATTTCGATTTAAATCTTGCATAAAAATAGCTTGAAATCAATAAATAGTTTTATTCAATATAGTGAAGTATACCTACCTTAGATCTTAGATAATATTATTTAAAACTTGGTTTTTTGAATTTTTCACATAAATTTTGAGGTTATGTAAAAAAATTGTAATAACAAAAGTTGTAGATCCTTTTATTACCTACACCTTTGCCATTTAACTTTTTTCCATAGGACTTGTAGTTTTGCCGGAAATCGAGATAAACCATTTTTTACCCTTAAAACCCCCCCTCTCCCACTTCCCGAAGTCAGATCGCCCGTAATTTATTTTTCCTTTCATTTTTATTATATTCTTCTCCTTTTCCAATGGGTTTCATCCTACTGTTATTTTTTTTGGTTTCAAAAATTATCGACCCTGGTCTATGTGTGCATTTCAACAATTAAGCGGTTTTCCACGATTAAGTGCGTTCAGAGACAATTCTAGTACGTTTATGTTTATATGGTTTAATACGGAAGTTTAATATTATTTAAAGTATAAATAATAACGCATTTATCAAAAATACCCAGTTTTGGGTAGGTAAATAAAATTTGGGTATTTACCCAAATTTTATTTACCCTATCTACATCACTAGTCGTGCCGCCAATTTTTTTTTTTCACGGCAGTGATGACGTTTTTTATCTATTACGTCATCAGCGTGCCCGTAAAAAATAAATTGGAAGCACTCTAATGTCACCTAGTCACTTCGTTTTTCTTAATATTAAAACAGTTTACACAAAATAGGTTAGATTCTCCGAAAATAGGTTAGGTTAGTACGAAATAACCTTGAAATAACGTAATTTAATTCACAGTGACTAGAGGCACGCTAACGTACCGCGATTGGAAATATTAAAGGCACGTTAGTTACGTCATAATTATAATCCGTTTTTGTTCCCTGACCATTTAATATTTGACATCAAGCTAGATAGCTTATATGGTAGGGCGTTCGCTTGGCATGCGAGAGGTCCGGGGTTCGATACCAAGAAGCTGTCGAATTTTTTTTATTTTTTATTTCATAAATTTGTTGTTTCTTTGTTAAACAGTGTTCGGTTGGGTTGGGTTGGTTGGTTTGTTTTAGTTTTATCGTAACATAAAATCTACTAGAAGTTGTCGAACTTTTTTTTATTTCATAAATATGTTGTTCCTTTGTTAAAAAGTGTTTTATTTTTATCGTAACATACATTTGACCATTTTAGTTGGGTTTTTTGTTCAATGGGGCGGGGGGGGGGCCAATGGGGCGGGGTCGGTTGGGTTGTGTTGTTGAGTTTGGGATGGTTTGAGTTTATGACGTAACTAACGTGCCTTTAACATTTCAAATCGCGGCACGTTAACGTGCCTGTAGTCACAGCGAATTTAATTTAAAAGATAAAAGTTGACCAACAATTAAATTAATGGTGGAATTATGCAGCACAAATTAACATTAAGATTAATTTAACCAATAGGAGGGTATTTATGCTTAATGTTAATGTGTTGCATAAGTGCTTCCATTAATATGCTTAATATTTTATTACATTCATTCAACTTTTTAATGTTTATCTTAATGTTAACAATGTTAATATTTTAGTCTTAAATTACATCACTGTATGAACATTCCAATGGATTCTTTGGTTTTTAACTTTAAAGTTAAATTAAATTACATCTTGAATTAAATTACTTTTCTGTTAGAACCAAGCTTTAATTATTTATTGTCAACCAGACTTAAAAACCTTAAATTTAAAAATTAATTCGAAAAAAATGTTTTGTTTATACCTATTTCATGTGGTGTCTTTTTTGGAAAACTATATATAAATATTAAATCTAATTAATCCTATAACTATGCAAGTTTTAAATGTTAATGAGTAATATAATTAAATATTATACCTAAAAGGTATACCTATATAAAAAAAAAATGTAAATAATAAACTCACCCAAATTGACGAGAAGGTAATAAATTGTTTGTCCATTTTTCAATATGTGTGATTGGGACGTCAAAGCGAGGTGAAATAACACCACATTTGTTTAATCTTCCTGTCAAATTTACTACTATTTTGCCACTACGATGGTCATCAACAATTTCGAATTCACCAATGTATCCATGTTTCATCATTACCGTCAGAAATTTAACAACAACTTTGGAACATGGTCGAATGAGTACCTGCCTCTTTCCACGTTTTTCTGCATTATTTATGGATTTAAGGGCATCACTTAACACATTCATTCGCACCATTGCTAAAAAATATAATTATATTTTTGGATAGAAGCACATTTTATTATTATAATGTATCGACAATAAACACCATAGAAAAATAAACAGTTAGGTTAACTTGACGGTTACAATAAATTCTGTATTGATAATGTTGACATTATATTTAGACGGTAAGAAGGCGGCAGCTACGGAAAATACTTATGAAATCTTAGAAATGAATAACTAAATGAACGAAATAATGTTAATTTGTCTATGGATGGTTTAATATTTCTTAGATTACCTGTGATTTGTTTGGTGTAGAACCATTCACGATCTCAAAACACGAAGGAAAGGACTTGATGAATTTTAGCGCCACGAGAGGCGCGCAAAACATAACACCATCAATGTTGCCAAACTAAGTTTTGGACAGTGTTGCCAGTGGTTGGAAAGATAAAGTACCAAATTAGACAATAAACAATAGCTATTTTTGCGGAGCTAATCCCAAACTGATTCCGGACATCCTAGACATGCGCTTTTTAAAATTTGGGGTTCAAAATGTAAAGTGCGCATGACAAATATTAAAATGCGCATGCCCAGGACGTCCGAACTAGTTCGGGATTAGCACCGCGAAAACACCTAATAGTCAGGGACATGGAGTCCGAACTGCATGTAAACAAGAATCTTCCTAAGTGCTCATTCATAATGGACGTAACCATAAGATGCGCGTAAACGTAAACGTAAACATAATATCACCATAATTTGTACGTAACGATGAGTTGTGTTTATAATGAACGTATGCCTTATGTATATATTAATAAGGCGCGCATGTCCATGTTCACTAAAATGGCAGCATTGACAGATTTCCTCTAATTATTATGTCTTAAAACTTAAAAGCATAGAAAAAAGTTTTAAGACAATATAATTATAATTATAAATATAAATTAAGTTAAAACTATCAGTGTTATCATAACCTTAGTGTAATAGCGATATATACGTTGGCAAAGAGAAGAAAAAAAGGGCGAATTTCGTCGAATAATACTCGAACTAAAACTTTAGGATAAGGAATGGTTCTTTAGATCAGGGTTGCCAGTTCGGTTTTAATTCCTTCAGTAAATATGTAGTCAAATATTCAGTAGATTTCAGTAGACTTATTTTTTGCTCTACAAATTTCAGAAAAGGGTACTAAAATAAAACTATAACGTCGAAAAAATATGTATTTATTTAGAAATGAAAAAAAGTAACAAAGGGTAACAAAATAGTAACAAAAAATGTGTTATAACCTTGATTATAACCAAACATTTTCATTAAGAAATATATATAAACATACCTTCGAATTCCGATGTTGATCATATTTTTTTTTTCTTTGACGGACCGGAATCTTTATTTAATAGTTATAGTTCTTACTTGAAAACAAATTCAGTCGCAGCCATAGAAAAAGCAGCTGGGAAGTTCCCGTCCCCATGGTCTTTCACATAACCACTTCTCTTTGACATAATTCCCCCGTAATCCCCGACGGGGATTCCCCGTGGCCCGTGGTCAGTATTACCAACATGTCAAGCGCTAAGACGCGTTAGAATTTTAAAAATGCTTGTAACTTTATTTAAATAGAGCGTTCGGAATTTAATGCAAGATAAATGTAAGTGATTAAATAAATATTATTGATAACCATAATAAATAAACGTCATATTTTTTTTTCAGTAGATTACAACATTTTTCAGTAGATCAGTAGATCAATCAGCAAATCATCTGTTTGCATGGCTACTACCTTGATTGCTACCAACAATGTTCTAGTGAAATCATGAAAGTTACTAAAATTCACACATAAGAAACCCGTAAAGTTGAGATGATTTCAACTTTACGTATTTTTTACGGTCACCCATAAGATCTTATGTTCGAACGTAAAACGTAAAAGTTACGGCTATTCATTATAAACAGGCACACTGGTTTTGTTAATATTCAACTTTACGTTTTACGTATTTCTTACGGGCATCTTATGGTTACGTCCATTATGAATGAGCACTAAGGAAAGTAGGCGCTGGTGTCCCGTTTATTCTGAAACAAATGACTAATTTGTACCGAAACGCTACCAAAAGAGCAGACGTCAGGACCACAGGTCTGTGGTCAGGACGCATCAACAATCAGCGCCGCTGGTGGTGAAAAAATTTGTGCAATTTAGAGGGCAGGTTTTGTCAATTTTCCCTATTAAGTTCGGGCTCCTTGTGTAGGCTCCATGGTCAGGGATGTCAGAATCTGTCAAAAAAATCCGCTAGATTTTGTTTAAAAGTACCTTTATTACAAAAATGACACAATTAACAATACTGAATAACGTCAAATTGACCATTTGCATTGTATCAATGTGTCATTTTTGTGATTAAGGTGGATTCAAACAAAATCTAGCGGATTTTTTGGACAGATTTTGGCATCCCTGCTAATTGACCATATGCAAGGAATGCGGTCGATGTTGTCAATGGTAAAAAAATAAAATTCCCTATTGGGAACATTCAATTATATTACGTTGGCTACACTGAAATTTTGAATTTCCCGCAGAAACTGACATACATTCTAGTAGTTCCCAGAGATAAAGAAGGTAGTTCCAATGTTGTATAATAAAATAAGGTGCGAATTTCAAATGTGGGAATTATTATTATTTATTATTATTAAAAAAAACATGGAAATTAATTTAGTTTGTGCGGGAAATTCAAATTTTCAATGTAGCCAACGTAATATAATTGAATGTTCCCAACAGGGAATTTTATTTTTTTACCATTGGCAACATCGACCGCATTCCTTGCATATGGTCAATTGTTATTTGTTTTACAAGTGTTGAAAAGCTTTCCTTACAATTCACTTAAGTGAAACACAATTTTTTCTACGATCCTTTTTTTATATATTATAAAATGTTTTTTATTAATAATTATAATTATAAACTTTTTTTATATATTATAAAATACAAAACAAAATATCCTAAAAACGTGTTTGACAGCTGTTAAATTTACTTTCATCTTATTCTTTTAATTTTTAAAGTTTAAGTTACTTAAAATCAATAAACTTTTCTTAGGAAAGTTTCCTTCTAAATTTAAATATACAAACACAATTAATTGTGTTCTAAAGCCAGATTTATAGTTCTAAAAAGTAGGAGTAGCAGTAGCAGTAAGCTTGTGTTGCCAATATAATAATATAATAAATGTCTGCATAAATGTCTGCAATGTGATTGGCTGGAGTAGGAGTGGCAGCAAGAAAAGTTAAAACTTGGCCATCTCTTACGCCAACGACCTTGGTTGCTACTGAACGCTACTCCAGCGGCTAGAGTCCAGCTTTGGTCCAGCCATTCACATTGCAGCATTTATATTATTATATTGGCAACACTGGCTACTGCTACTCCTACTTTTTAGAACTATAAATCCGGCTTAAATGATATTTAGACATACATATACAAATACAATACAAATTTTGAAACAAATGTCAAACGATGCTGTCAATTTCTTTTCACACAGCCTGTCACTTTTCACACATTCATTTTCTAAGCAACGATGCCATTACAGTGTTGTTCCGTCTATTCAGTCTTGCCAACCGTATCATAATTATGGTATTTGTACCATAATTTTAAAGGTCTGTCGGCCACTTGATGTAACCAGAGATACCTCCATATCTCTGGATGTAACTAACGGGTCCGTTGAAACAGTAATTTTTGCTAAATCTGTTAGTGGTGGTAACACGATTTGGAAGAAAGTTTTGAGTCAAGCCTAAATTATAGATTGCCTTCCTTCCTTCCTCCCGTAGTCGTGCCCGTACGATTTGTGCGTCTTTAGAGATGACAAAAAAAATAAAAATATTCGATTAATCGATCAATTGATTAATCGAATTAAAATAATATTGTTATAATTAAATCGGTACAAATATATCGATTAATCGATTAATTAATCGTCCAGTAGCAAACAATAGAGTAATTGCATCAAAAGTGAAAATCCCTAAAAACCTTTTTATTGTAATCTAGAGGTAAAAACACATTGCGAAAATATTTTTTTATATTCCAAAAGTTCAACCCGGTCCCAAAATATCAAATTGAAAAAAAGGTACTTTTCAAACGTTCCGAACTCCCGCCATATTGCATGACGTCATAAGCTTCACCAGCTGTCAGAAATCAAGATGTCAACAAATAATAAACACCGATAAAGTTTATGTTTAACATGGAAACAGTGGCGGCGCCAGCTTTTTCTTTCCAGTTGGGCGACACCCGGCAGAAAAATTTGAATTGTGGGCAGCAAAAATATGTTTCAGGTATCTAGGTAATATTTCAGATAATAGGTATATAAATTGTATAATGTACCCACTAATTATAGATATTTTGCGGATTTGTGAATAAATGTGAAATACAAACTAAAACGAAAAACGAAAAAAAACAGAAATTATTTCAAAATTTATTTTACACGGAAACACTGTTTTCACAAATCAAACTTTTTCGGGAATCGATAAAACTTAATGTTTTTATTTAAAGGGTTTTTCTTGGACTGGTTGTCCGAATTGCATTCAAATATATTTGGCATATATGCCACACCGCATTTTAATAAATGCAAATGGCACGACACAAACTAAAACACAAACAAAACAAGTTAACGCAACACAAAAACAATAATAAACAAACAGAACAGGTTAACACAACGCAATAACAATAATTTGAACACTGAAAAGTAATTCGAACCTTACTGAACACAAAAACAAGTTAAACAAAAAATAGGGCAAGTTAACATCCAAAAGCATCGCAAAAACAAGAATTTTAGCAGCAGATAATTAAAAAACACTCATCAAGTGACGTATTTGGGTTATTCTCAAAATAACTACAATCTTTGCGTGACGTGTGTTTTTTTCTCCCATATTAAAAAAAAATGGTAAAAATAAGTAACATTTTTAAAGTACACAACGTTAACTAACAGTACATTAAGTAAAAAAAAAATAAGAAAAAAAAATACCGCCCAAAAAACTGATCTGAATAGAGATATTGTCCTTTCCGTGGAACGTGACTATATCGTGTTGGTAAGTTTCACTTAATGTAGTGAAAAGCCTGCATATTAAAAAAACCTAAAAAATTGCCATTATTATTAAATACCCCAAAAATACATAGATATGGTTCATATTCCTTTTTATTCTTTTTAATTTAATATTGTAGTTTAGTCATTTATACGTTACCAGTTTCGAACCATTCCGAGGACTTATTTGTAAGTGCAAAATTTCAAAAGTATTTCGCGCCACTCACGTCAACCGTTAATTTTATGTCATTAAAAAACCTGTCATTTGTTATTTAAGTCGCCCTTGTCAGTTCTTTTTTGAAAGGTTGTAAAGAAGCGTTCATGTTTATGTACGAGGCTCCAGTGTAGAAGCACAGGCTGTCCTTTCTGTTACAATTATATTTCAAACAGTAAGTATT